TGCAGATGACACAACCCTGCTCGCTGAAACTGAGGAGGACCTCATGCACTTACTGCAGAGGGTCAAGGACTGCAGCCTTCAATATGGACTGAGGCTGTAAGGACAGACAGGTCTTTGGAGAGGGACATCATGCTGAGCAGAGTGTAGGGACAGCACAGGAGGGGAAGACCCTCTATGAAGTGGATTGATTCAGTGACTGGGGTAATTGGGATGGATGTGTCAGAGGCAGTGAGATAGGCACAGGATAGAGCAGGGTTTAGGGCTGTTGTACATAGGGTCGCTATGAGTCACAAGCGACTTGACTGCACATAACAACAACAACAACAACATAAAGCTTTTAAAGCTGGGGAAAGGCAGAAGAGACAAAGTGAAAGAGAAACTAGGGAGCTATGGTGTCTAACAAAGAAAAAGGGAAAAGAGCATTTCAAAGAGACAGAATTAGCATTCCCTACTCAGAGAGCAGGGAGCTGTGGTGGCCTAGTGGCTCTGGAGATATACTGACAACCCAAAGGTCGGCTGTTTCGGATCCACCAGCTGCTCCTCAAGGAGGGCATGGACAATCTTCTCCCATGTGAGTTACAGCTTCTGAAAACCTGCTGTACTCTTGGCTATAAGGAAATTCTAATTTGACAGCAATAAATAAACTCAGTTTAGAAGTGACGAGATTCACTGACACTGACTCATTGCCATGTCAGTGAGAGAAACCAAATGATTCTGATGAAGAGTGATGCAAAATAAGAAAACAGGTACAGTAAATGAAGGCATCAACTCCTGAGAAGGTTCACTGTTAAGTAAAAGAACAAAGGTATAGATCAAATGGATTCTGGAGTTCAGGGGAGAAATCTGTACATAATTAATTGCTGGTGGGATATAAAACCACCGAAATAAATGAATGAGAGCAGAAAATTAAATGTGTTGTTTCCTGAAATCTATAGTTAAGTTAATGAAAGAGATCCAAGGATTTTATAAATGTGTTTGCAAAGTAACAATTCAACAGTTGTGTTTGCGTGTTATGTACCATTGAGTTGGGCTCACAGCTGACACTCGTGTGGGTTTTCTGAGGGAGCAGATCATACAGGAAGAGACTGCCTATCTTTCTCCTGTGTAGCTACTGGTAGACACAAACCACCTCTGAGCTGGCAGTGCAACTCCTTATTACTAAGGCAGCAGATCTCCCTATTCAAAACAACCGTCGAATGCTATTTGGTAAAAGGGGTCCTAAAATCAATCACCTCTGACAGATGAAGACTTAAGTCCTGAAGCGGTTGTGACTAACTGCTCAAGGTCACTTACTATGTGATAGTACAATGACTCATGTTCATGTTTTCTCACTTTAAACTACACGCTTTTTCCAAATTCCAGGATAACCTTAATATACTGATGTGAGCAGCAATTCATAAGCAACATTTAACAGATGGGCATCTGGGGTCACAGAGGTGGTGAAGGGAAAAGAGAAATAAAGGAGGCTGATGAGTCTCAGAATGAAATGATTCTATTTCACACAAACTCCTTTCTGTTTAATAAACCGAAGTCCTGAATGAGACTGTATTAAAAAAAAAATCACCTACTAGAAAAAAAACAGGGTTGGATACCACTATCTAAGATATGTAAAAATATATATATACTTTAAAACATACATTAACAAGTTCTTACCGAGTAATAGCACTGAAGAGTCCTCGGATGCGTGCTTTATGTCGAGCTACAAAAGCTTCAGTGAAAATTACTCCTCTGTTATCAAGATCAATGTGCCCATTAATAATTCTGCCTAGTCGCTGAGTTAATGCCTAATAGTAAAGACATAAAATTTTATTAATTTGAAACAATAAAATTACACATATGCATTTGCATAGTTATACTAAAATAATTTTGCATATGGTTATGTATTGAGAAATTTCAGCAATAATAAATTTAAGAAAGATGCAAACTAAAGATTCAGGATGCAGGAAACATTATTTCATTGCAAAGACAAGAAATGAATGAGTCAGAGGGCTAATATGTCAAATGGCTTTGCTATGTGGCTGTAATTGTTGTTAGGTGCTATTGAGTCCAGTACAACTTATAGTGACTCTATGAACAAAAGAAAAATCTGAACCCTGTGCTATCTTGTGCTATCCTTGCACTACCTGACATATAAAAGCCCACTCTAGCAGTCACCATGTCAATCCGCCTCATTGAGGGTCTTCCTTCTTTCATCAGAGTTCCACCCTTCCTAGCATCATGTCCTTCACCAAGGAATAGACCCTCTAGCAACATGTCCAAAGTATGTGAGGTGAAGCCTCATCATTCCTTCCTCCACAGAGCACTCCATTTGCACCCTCTCCAAGACATATCTGTTCCTACATGGTAATAAAGGCTATTTCCCCAATGCAAAATAGTTAACTGATTAACCCATTTTCTAGATACAGGCAGCTCTCAGTATATAGCCAGCTAAAGCATTCTGGTAAATTTTAAAGACCTTAGCTACAGCATTTAGCACTGATGAAGAAAAATACATTTTTCTTTCAAGACTCTTAAAACTTGAAACAACCTAAGACCTAGAAAATTATCTTCTATAGTACCAACATTAACAAGCTATTGTATCCAGAAGATCTACATGGGTGGACAATCTGACTTCCCATTCTAGGGCAAGAAGAGACATTTCTTGACAATCAGCTTTAAAATTCAAACAAGTACTTTCCACAACTACAGTATGTTGGGAAAGGTGGAGGGTCAGCAAAGTAGAGGAAGACCTTGAACCAGGTGGAGATTGGTGACACAGTGACTGCTGCAATGGGCTTTTGTTTGTTAGGAAGTGTTAGGGTGGCACAGGACAGAAAAGCGATCAGTTCTTTTGTTCATAGGGTCGCTATGAGTCATGCTTGACTCAATGCCATCTAACAACAACAACATAGTATGACTGGACATATGTACGAATTAAGTGCATATATTCCATATGTCAAGATGAGCTAAATTATTCATGTCAGATTGATATTTACATGATACAGAAAAAATGTCTTTTAAACACCTTCTTAATGAGCCTTTAAAAAAATCTATATACAAAATATGTACATAGATGTCTCCAATGATTAAAAGTTTAAAAGTGAAAAATACCAAAATATACATAGAGGGCACACAGTTTTATAATAAATAATATAGACTTGATCTGGAACTTTGTGAAAGTGCTTTAATATTTTTAATTTGTGATAATAAATATTTGCTGAAATAAAACAGAATTATGGTTCCTGAAAAGCTGCTTCAAACAAAAGATTTATATCCTAAATTAAATTTTAAATGCAACTGAAGTTCACTCTAAAAAGTGAGTTGTTGTTGTTGTTACATGGCATCGAATCACTTGTGACTCATAGCGACCCTATGTACAACAGCCCTAAACTCTGCTCCTGTGCCAATCGCACTGTCTCCGACACATCCATCCTGATTACCCCAGTCACTGAATCAATCCACCTCCCAGAGGGCCTTCCTCTCCTGCGCTGTACCTCCACCCTCCAAAGCATGATGTCCCTCTTCAAGGACTGGTCCTTACAACATGTCCAAAGTATGTTAGACAAAGCCTCAGAATCCTTGCCTCCAAGGAGCAGCCCAGTTTAACCCTCTCCAGGATGAATCTGTTTGCTTTCCTAGCAGTCCATGGCACACTCAATACTCTTCTCCAGTACTACAGATCAAAGGCATCAATTCACCTTCTTTCTATCCTCCCTAGTCATTGCTCAACTCTCTGACACATAACAAGCAATTGCAAAGACCATGGCCTGTATCAGATGCACCTTAGTCTCCAGAGAGACACCATTGCTCTTCAGTAATTAATCTCATATAATTATGGTTCAGTAAATATTATAACCTGTATTTCCTTAAAGTAAACTATATAATAGAGATTTGGCTTTTTCTTCTGATTTTGGGGACATACAAAATAAATTCATCATTTATTTTGGCTCTCCTTTGTAGTAGATACTTCATCAATTATACCATATTTAAGGAGTTCCAGTCTAGGCTGCCAAAAGGCCAGCAGTTCAAATCCACCAGTCTGATATGTAGGAAAAAGATGGCAAGCCTCATCCCTTAAACATTTATAGCCTTGACAAGAGAATGTCATGAGATGGAACAAATTGACAACAATGAATAAGTAAATGATACGACATGTACAAAACTTCACTGAAGCTCATTATAAAACATTTTTATTTTCTAGATTTGCCATCTGAAGCACTAAATAGATTAATTAATATATTTATAATGTCAAATAAGGTAAGCAGTACAACATAGATCAAATTAAGGTTTGTTTAACCTCAATGTCCATGTTCTTTCTACTATAGTACTCTAAAACAACAGAAAACAAACAAAAACCATAAGAAATAAAACCCAACCTAAGAACCCAACCAAACACAAAAAAATCCCAAACAAAAGAAAAAAACCTCTCACTGATGTCCACAAAGTCAGAATGAACTCACTGCTGAGCTTCCTATGGTTTTATAAGGCTGTAAAGCACACAAGAGAAGACTGCCTATGTTCCTCTGAGGAGCAGCTGATTGAAACCACTTATCTTCCGGTTGACAGTAATCACAGAATACTGACCTACTTTAAAATGAAACAAACCCTAATAAATTGCCTCTATTTCAGGCAGCACTGTTTTACAATGTAAATCAAGATGTTTGAGACCAAATTATCTAAAGGTTAAAGGCTATGTGAGATTTCTTGGTTATTCTACTATATTTAGCAATTTAAAGGAGGTAAGAAAGTACTCATATTAGGATTTTCAAGAACTCAAAAACACTGAGTTGCAACTGATTCACGGCTGACAATCCACTGAATTTCCAAGGTTGCAAATCACACAGGAGGAAAGTGCTCATCTTTCTTCCTTTGTTGTTGGTGGGCTTGAAAGGTCAGACTGGGATTGCCATTGGGTTAGTATTGCAAACTCACTACAAACTATGCCACCAGAGCTCCAATATGAGCACTATTAAAATGTTAGGCTAGAGAATTCTTCATTGTGTATGTGGGAAGGGGTACAGGGAGAAAGGGGTGCCTGTGCACTGCACAGTAGTTTTAAAATAAAAACAGCTCCAAATAATAGCAAATACTCTCTGTGGAGGTAAAACTCTCACCAGCTGAGAACTACCATTCTAAATCATAATTTTTATCAGCTACTTTCCAAAATATAATTGGATAACCAAAACTGAAAATATCCTAGAAAAGATAGTTTTTATAGGTGATAATCCAAACACTAAATAAACTCAGATATTTAAGAACTATTTACTACTTATGGCATATTTATCAAAAGCTTAGAATCTACTCATTGTTTTCAGAGTCTCTCTGGGTTAAGAAAGATGATAATCCATTTTAGTGTAACAAGAGCTATTAAGGTTCAAAAAGCTTCTCAAAACTCTGTATCACTATACCATCAACATTAACACATTCCTGAAAGGAGAAGAGTAAGGGGAGTCCAGTTAAAATTCTTTATGAATCTAAGAGGACATATTACACTATAAAGAAAAATACCTGTGTCAGGAAGTTTCCAGGAAGATCATAGGTCTTACACAGCTCTGATATGGTTACCTGACCACTTTCTTGCAATTTATCATTTACCTCTTCTGCTAACCGATCCAAATAGGTCCTAATATTAAAAAGAAAGAGGAAAAAAACCTAAGCATAATTTCTTCTCTATTTTCTCTTTTCCATTTATGTTGTCACAATACATATCCCGAAAGAAATAAGCCTTTTCATGGGTAGGTTAACACCATTCATTATTTAGAAATTAACAATTACTGTTTTTCATTAATGTGAGAGGATACAAGGTTTATTCAAAGACAAATGTGGGAGTATTTCTGGCAGAGTTTCGCAGTCATGCTTCATCAGTACTTTTGTAGAAAAAAAATTCTTTTAGAGATAAAGCTGTATAGAAAGATTTTACAAATTATGCTTTTTGTTATACTTTAATAGGAAAAAATAATACTTTATGTCATGTCCAAGTTCTCCACATGATTGAATAATATTTTTTTAAATAGAATGATGCTTATAATAAAAATTAGCATTGTAAGATTCTGAAAAGAACCTTATGGCCATAACTGGTATATATTTAAATATAAACTATTAAAGAAAAGAAAAGAACAACATGCTACAAAATAGTATACTTACTCATCTATCAGTTGTCCCAACACTAACTGAACCTGCTTTTCTGACTTAATGATGTCACTAACTCTATTTTCAATATGAGTAAGGTCCACATTAATAGCCTGGAAAGACATACAAATTCAGTTAGTGATTGGTTTATGCTGCTTTAGTTCTAAATAACATTTTAAACCATAATTTATAAGAATTTAATACACTTAGATGTAAAGTTCATACTGTTTTTAAATATTATAAAAGCTTAAAAATATTTTACTACATATTTACTTTCAGTTTTGAATAAATTACATTTTCACTTGATAGTAAAGTTTGTTAATATGTTATATTTTCATATAAGAGTTAAATAACACAAAATTTGCCAGTCTTTTATTTTTTTACAGTATACCCTAGCACTGACATGTGTACTTCTATTTATTAAAACAATCTCTGTAATTCTTCTTGTTTCTCTATTACTTCACATACCAAATCTATGTAAACATAATAATGTAGTGATTTTTCTCCCATATAGTACATAATCTTACAATTACATAAAATGAAGACATTTAAAAAAGAATTATTAGGAAGTCAATAGAGAAGTAGGACATATTTACTATGTCAGTGAAGGCTACATAATTATTTTTTCATAAATATTATACAAAAGATGTTGCCAAAATTGGTGAACATTTCAAGGCACTGAAAAGATTCATAGAATCAAAAAAATTTGAAAAAGAAACGTGAATCTTAAAAACTTAAAGATTACCTGTTGTAGATCAACAATGTTTACTCGACCTTTAAAAGAAAAAAAAGGCAAATAATTTACTAATTTCAATTTATGTATAAGTACATGAGTTAAAAATTTTTAATGACAGTATAAACAAATTTTAAACATAATGACTCTTCCTTAAAGGACCTAAAATGTCTTAAAATACAAGCCATTAGCTCAGTATGCTTTACAGGGCTAAAAGCATAAGCCATCAGTTCTTTTAAAAACTTTATTTTTTATATCAGGTCAATTAAGATCATTAAATAATATACCAAGTTAGCCAAACTTTAGGGTATTTATCTTTTCACAGTACAGAATTTACATTGTCAAAGAGACACTGACAGAGAAATTCAGAGGAACTTTTTCCCACTATTTGAAAATGGCAGGTAGCTTTCTATTAGCAGAAGAAAAATCTGTATTCCAAATGACAACTTATATATATTGAAGCTGTTACATATCTTCAAGTCAGACCTGACTGATAGCTGACCCTCCCATGTGTTTTCAGAGGCAGTAAATTACAGAGGAGGACACTGTCCATCTGTCCCTCTCAGAGTGGCTGGTAGATTCTAACCACTTGTCTTTGGGTTGGCAGTACAAGTCTTTACCAAGCTATTCTATTTTACTTGTTACTAGATGCCCTTGGTCGACTACGGCTTGTAGAGACCCTAGGGATAATGGATCTAAATCCTCCCCTATACAATGCCACCCTCATCATCTCTACTATTCTTGAGTCTATTGGACTTTTCCCTCTGAACAACACCCCAAAGTATGTAAGATGAATTTTCATCATCTTTGCCTCTAAGTTAACTCTGGTTATACCTTCTCCAAGATATATTCGTTCATTCGTTTGCCAATCCATGAGATACTCAGTACTCTTCTCCAACACTAGAACTCAAAGGAGTCAATTTTTCTTCTGTCATCTGTATTCACTGTACACCTTTCAGATGCATAATGAATAATGTAAAGACTATGATCAAGTACTCTTTAGCCTATACAATGACATCGTTGTTCTTCAGCATTTTGAAGAAGGTCCTGACAACAGATTTTTCCAATGTAATTATAAAAAGAGCAAAGACTGCATGGAGATGGCCTTATCTAATGTTTACAAACTCCACAACAGAGAAAACCCCTGTCAACAACATCCACAAAACATTTTCATGAGATCAGACATGTCCCCCATGCTCCCACACCTCTTTCTACTAATTTCAACACCAATCTTACTGTTCTACTGGGTCCGTAGTATACCGTAATATCTCACAGAGCACATGGAATTATATTTTTAATTATAGGGAAGTTGACAGGATACAATTTCTGTCAGGACAGATTCTGAAATGTGTCAAGACACCTCACCCTTCAGCCTCATGACTTTTCACCAGTGTTACAGAGTTTTTACTCCTGCCCTTTATAGCTCCCCATACCCAGTACTCCAGTAAGCCTGGGCAAAGGCTCTTTCTTGGCTCTGGTTCTGTGGGGTCCTATGGTCAGCTGGGTCATGTTGGGTCTCTGGTTCTCTGCTGTGGCCACTGCTCCTGTAGGACCTAGTCAGAGGAGCACAGGGATCCTTGGCCCTGCAGGATGCACTACTGCATGCTCTGCTTCTTCTTTGCTGGTGGTAAGATTCCCATATGTCTGCTGAATTTAGTGGCAAAACTAGTCAGTTCCCCTTGCGGATGGACTAACATGCCCTATTTACATATTCCCCTGGCAATATCAAAGTCAATGGCAAGGAAAGCCATTTTGAACAATAAACCCTTAACACCACAGCAATACTTTTTTTTTTTCTTTTTTACTTTCCATACTTCTGGTACCAAGGGTGTTGTGGATGTAAGATGAGATAGTTGATAAGATTCTCACCACAGGGCTGAATGGGAGGTTGTAAGGATAGTGCATGATAGGGCAAGGCTGAAATCTGTTGTTTCCAAGGTCTCTGAGTAGTAGTCAATTCAATGGCAACTAACAAAAACAACAACATATCAATCTCACTCAAACTCACTGCCACTGAGTCAGAAATACTCATTGCTGGCCCCCCCGTGGTTTTTCAGAGGGTGTAAACAGCATGAGAGCAGACTACCTATCTTTCTCTCGTGGACTAGCTGGAGGATTTAAATTGCCTGCCTGGATTGGTAGTTTACAACTCTTTGTCCACTAGGCCACCGGTGCTTGCCTGGTATTATATAGAAAATAAAACAAATATCAGTTATAAAGATAATAAAAAATGAAGTTAATTTCTTTGTTGCCACTACTTTTATCAAGTATTCGTGGTTTACTCAAATTTCTAAAAGACAAAGGAAAACAACTTGCTTTTGTGTATGTGTACTTGTGTTTGTAATATCATTTTGATTAATTTGCGCCTATTGTACTGGATCTACTAATGTGCAAATTGTTATTGTTGTGTACCGTCAGGTCAGAACCCACAGCTACCTTCTGGCAGGTTTTCAGAGGCAGTTAATCATACGGGAGGAGATTGCCCATCTGTCTCTCGTGGAATAGCTGGTAGCCTGGAACTGCATGCCTTTGGGATTGTAGTGTAGCTTCTTTCCACTAGGCCACCAGAGATCCCAATGTGCAAATACTTTTTTTTGGATACAAGGTATACAGTCTTGACTTTCTAGAATCTATAATCCTATGTGTTCTCCTTCGTTATTATCAACTGACAACAGGCAGCTAGGAACCCACCTCTGAGTCACATACAGTCAACTCACTGACATAAATTAAACATAAAATAATTTTTAAAAATAGAACATTGGCCCATCATCAAGCAAATGGATAGAGAAGCTGTGGTACATTCACACAATGGAATACTACACTGCACTGAAAAACAAAGAACTCATGCAATATTATTCAAAATGGGTGAGCCGGGAGGACATTATGCTGAGTGAAATATCTCGGTCGCAAAAGGACAAATACTGCACTGTGTCACTGTTGCAGAATGGGACTGACATCAGGGTTGGGGTAAGACTGAGAAAAACTGGATAAATCATGTATACTGCATTGAAACAGATGAGGCAGAGAACAGTTTAAAAGTGATATATGATTGGGTATTATAGTTATTACAAGAGTCCAGAATTAAGGTTGCATAGTGGGGTGTACTGGGGCGGTGGAGAGGGGTGTTGTGGGGGGACTGTATAGCAATGAAAGAATTTTTCTTTTTTCAAAGAGAGGAGTGAACTGTGGGCGAGGGTTGGGCAGGGAGAAAAGCACAACAATGAATGAATGGAAGTCCAAAATCTCTGTAAATGTTCATTAAAATTAATAAAATTGTTTTAAAAAATAGAATATTGAAGTAACATTTAAGTTATATCTTCTTCCTCTAATCAAGTGGAAATATTAAAGCTAAAAGTCATATTAATTGGGAAAATATTTTACAATATGTTGAAGTTGTTGTTAGCTGTCGTTGAGTCGCCTGTGACTCATAGCGACCCTATGTACAGTAGCTCTGAACTCTGCTCCAATCTGAGCCAAGCTTATTGTCTCTGACACACCTACTCTCATTACCCAAAACAGTGAGTCAATCCATCTCATCTAGGGTCTTCTTCTCTGAGCCGTCCCTCCAACATCCCAAGCATGACATCCCTCTCCGAAGACTGGTCCCTCCTTGCAACATGCCCAAAGTATGTCAGAGAGCTTCAGAATTCTTGTCTCCAACATGCAGTCTTGTTTCACCCACTCCAGGATGAACCTGTTTGTTCTCCTAACAGTCCATGGTATATTCTTCTCCAGCACCACAGTTCAAAGGCATCAATTCTTCTATCATCCTTAGTCACTGTCCAGCTGATGCATAGCACCTAACTGCAAAGACCAAGGCCTGGATCAAGTGCACCTTAGTCTCCAGAAAGATATGGTTGCTCTTCAGTCCTCTGAAGAGGTCCCTGACAGCAGACTTTCCCAAAGCAATTCATCTTTTGATTTCCTGGCTGCTGGTTATCAAGACTTTCAATTGTACAGCCAAGTAAAGTAAAACTATTAACAATCCCAATCTCTTCACCGTCTATCATGATGCTGCCAATTGGCCCAGTGGTGAGAATTTTTGTTTTCTTTATGTTGAGCTTCAACCCATAGTGATGGCTGCAGTCCTTGACCTTCTGTAGCAGGTGCTCAGGTCCTCCTCAGTTTCAGCAAGCAAGGCTGTGTCATCTGCATCTGCATAACACAAGCTGTTGATGAGTATTCCTCCAATCCTGAAGCCACATTCCTCCTCCTAGAGCCCAGCTTCCCTGATGATCTGCTCCACATATAGATTGAAAATGTATAGTGATAGGACACATAATTTTTTAATAGACATGATTTAGGGAGCTCTGGTGGCCTAATGGCAAGAAGCTGTACTGTGATCCCGAAGGCACAGAGTTCAAATTCACCACGTGGTCTGTGGTAGAAAGATGGGCAATCTCCTCCCAGGCCATTAACTGCCTCTGAAAACCTGCTGGAGGGTCAGCTACAGGTCGGTTCAGACTCAACTGTACACAACAATGACAGATACGGTTTTAAAGTGTTTTGTTTTTTTCTCCTAAAAAGCAGAAGGGAAAAAGATAGAGATTACTTACCACCACGAACATGTAGCTCATCTCTCATTTCTTTACTAATTTGGGCCGGGGTAATATATTCCTTCCCATCAAGTGTGTGAACTACTTCTAGCTGCTTCTGAGCAATCAACTTATTCACAATTTCAATGCAGTTCCGTTCTGACAATCTGAGGCACACAAGAATAGTTTAAAAACTGCAGTATGACATTTGGTACTCAATACAACTATTAATGCATGAAAATCAGGTGCTTTTACAAAAAAACAATTGGAAATTTTTAAAACTATCCATCGTATATAAGCATATTTATATGCCCTTATTTACAAAATAGTTACAAACCATTCTATTACAAATTTCAAATGTGTTCTGTTTCCAATTTTCAAACCTAAATAGAAAATTGAGGACATCAAATTTAATACCAGAAAAGAAACCTCTCCTCCAATTTTCTGTTTAAAGCCAGTATTTTAGTAAAAATCAGTATTTTCTTTCAAATTGAGTGGATAATCAGCGCACTCATGTGCTTGGTTTATAGGCTGGCAGGGGATCTGGCCTAAGCTCTTATTGTGCCCTACTTTTCAGTGCTACAAACACATCATCAGGGGCCTAAGGAATAAAACACTGCAGGCCTAGCCCATGAATCAAAAGGATTCAATAGTCCTTACATATACGTACTCTATAACATTACAAAGCTGAGCTGCGGTATTCCAGACACATTATCCAAAGGTGAGCGAGTTTGTAGTGCTCTGGAATCCTAAAAATGACAGATGGAGCCATGTATAGACATGTTTGCCAAGAAAATAGAAATTTTAAGAGATCAAACACAGAATATTTTGCAAAGTACTGTATTTGGATCAGTCTGTTCTTTAAACCTTACTCTGTTCACAAAGGACTAGGTCAGGGCATGTGTATTAGGCGATAATGCCATTAGGTGTCTTAGTGGCGAATAGTGAGGTGGGGCACACGAGACAGCCCGAGGTCCCAGCCTGAGCCACTGACAGCAGTTTTATTGTCTTGCTTGAGAAGGCAGGGAACACGGCTTTGAGGTGCGATGCCAGATTCCCTGCCGAGAACTGGGCTCGGTTCTATGTTCCGACTGGGGAAGAACGGGCCGCAACACCAGAGACTGAGAGGGTCCGGAGTCAAGAGGTCTGGGACCCCAGATCCCAGAGTGTGTGTCCAGGGCCTACTTGGGGAGGGAGGGTCGGGCACCTCTGCGTGGCCTCCGCAAACTGCGCCCTCTGGAAGTCGGCCGCCAACCGCCTGATCTCTTCCCAGGCGTCCGCCATTGCGGTCCGATCACCCAGCCGCCGAAGCGCTGCAGACACGTCAGCCCAAAGGCTGCGATGGGCGAGGCGAGGAGGAACGGGCCGCGCAGAGGGACAAGAGACTTCGCCCTGGACGCCCAAGCCAAACGCTCCCGAAAAGAGCGGGGGGTGGGTGGGAGAGGCGGGCCGGAAGAGCTCGGCCCCGCCCACCGGGCCTGGGAGGCGTGTCCCCGGCAGCTTGACGTGACGCTGCTTGGCTGCTGGTGAGCCTCCGAGGGCGTGGAGGTCTATGTACAGAGGGAAAAAACAAAGGATAGCCTAATAAAATGTTATTTCAAATCTTTGTTTGCATTATCTTTAATGCTTCAGGTGCAGAGATAATAAAATTCACCTCCAATCTTGTATTCTCCGTTTGCCAAACTTGATTTAAAATGCAAGGAATATAGACCTGAAACTTGTTATTAATTAATGTTACCAAACAGAAATATTACGTTGACAAAGCAATGGTTGATGGAGAAGTGAAACATCCGAAGTCTCGGTCTTAACTTTGAAGGCTACAATGTGCTATGGTTTCACAGAACATGAGGCTTCTAAAGGAACAGAAATACTCATATTTAATAAAAAAAAAAACCAAACCCAAACTTATGTGATTGCCTATCAGATGCCATTTGAATACATGAGTAAGTAAAACATGATATCTTTCAAAAGAACTTATAAATCTAGTCAGTCAGAATTTTAAAAATTAAACAAATACCCTCAAGTGAAAATATCATTAGTATAACAACAGGGAAAGTATATGGCACTATGGGACCATTTGACATCCAAATTTCCTGCTTACTATTTAAGATCCACACATTCAGACTAGCACCTACTTGCTGGTCACATCACTGCAGCACATCTCACGACCTGTTTCCTAGGCATGCCATGCCCTTTCTTTTTCAAACACCTGGCTACTTCTTTCCCCTGTATCCCCTCTTTATTTGGCAACATTTCCATGGGAAGCTTTGGTTACTGCTCATCTGCTAACCAAAGGGTTAGTCATTACAACCTACCAGCTGCTCAATGGAAGAAAAATGTGACATACTTTCAGGGACAGATAACACAACGAGTGAAGTTCATATGACTCAAATTGTATATGCTTACTAACCTATATTGAAAAATTTCACTGCAGTTGAAACTCCATTAAAATTGTTTATTACACATTAGTATTATTGTTGTTCTTAGGTGCCATCAAGTCGAGTATGACTCATAGCCACCTTATAAACAATAACACTGGCCTATCTCAGGCTGTCCTCTCAATCTCTGGCACACTCAAGCACATTGCCACAGTCACTATTTCAATCCACCTGGTTGAGGATCTCCTTCTCCTTCACCATGCCTCCACCTTTCCAAGCATGGTGTCCCTGTCCTCTCCAAGTAGTAGCCTCTCCCAGCAATATGCCTTAAGTATGTGAGACAGAGATTCTTCATCCTTGCCTCCAAGGAGCACTCTGGCTGCACTGTCTCCAAGACATATTCATTTTTTTTGGTGGCCCATGGGTAGACCAGGCTGCTTCTTGGAGGCAAGGATTCTGAAGCTTCATCTGACATACTTTGGACATGTTGCAAAGAAGGACCAGTCCTTGGAGAAGGACGTCATGTTTGAGAGGGTGGAGGGACAGCGCAGGAGAGGAAGACCCTCTATGAAGTGGATTCAATCAGTGACTGAGGTAATCTGGATAGCTGTGTCAGAGACAATGAGATTGGCACAGGATAGAGCATGGTTTAGGGCAGTTGTACATAGGGTCGCTATGAGTCGCAGGAGACTCGACGACACATAACAACAACAACAACAACAGCATGGAATATTTGGCACTATTTTCCAACACCACAGTTCAAAGATATCAAGTCTTTTCTATCTTCCTTATTCTTTGCCCAGGTCACAAATACATAGCAAGTGACTGAAAAGACCATGGCCTGATTCAGGTACTCCTTAGTCCTCAAAATGACATCATTGTCCCTCAATAATTTGGAAAGGTTCCTACAGACTTTCCTAGTACAATACATCTCCTAAGCTCCTCAATTCTGGTACCAAGTGTATTCAATGTGGATCCAAGTTAGACTAAATTGTTGACAGATGATCCAATAGAATGTGGAAATTATTGAACAATATCAGTAAGAGCATAGGCCAGTAAAATAATACTGAAAATAATTTAAAAATTGATAGCTCAGCACATGGAGAACACCTGATATTCAAGCTGATTTAAAAGAGGCCTTGGCACCCGGGATATTGTTGCTGATGTCAGTTAGATCCTGGCTGAAAGTGAAGAATGCCAGAAGAATGTCTATTTGTACTGTATTGACTATGCAAAGATATTTGACAGTATAGATCACAAATTAGTAAGTAGCATAGTTAACTTGTGTGCACCTAGCTTACTGTAAATTGGTTAATCATTCTTCCCTATTGGGCAGTTCTATGCCCTATAAAAGTCATGATAAGTAGAATCTAATTGATAGTAATGAGTTTGCTTTTATTGTTGTTTTTAATTCTTTCATGATAGTTAAAATAGAGATATTTTCAAAGAAATCCTTTTTAACCTCTAAAGACTTGTAAAGTAGTGCCTGTATATTTCTTTATTTAAATATCTCTAATAGCAAGATGGGAGCTCTGGTGGCTTAGTGACAAAAAAGATGCGCTGCAATCCCGAAGACACGTGGTTCAAGGCTACCAGCTGCTCTGCGGGAAAAGGGTGGACAATCTCCTCCCATGTGATTAACTGCCTCTGAAAACCCTCTGGAAGGCCAGCTATGGGTTGGTTTTGACTCTACATTACACACAGCAACAACAACAAATAGCAAGTAGGGAACTCCAATAGCCTACTGTAAGGAAGTGTGCTGCCAACACAAAGGCACACAATTCAAACCCATGAGCTGCTCTGAGGGAAGAAGATGGACAATCTCCTCCTGTGTGATTTTCTCCTTGCTAACCCACCGGAGAGTCAGTTGGAAGTCATTTCTGACTTGACAGCACAGGAGTAGCAAGTAGTGGATAATGGATGAGAAAAACTGGAGAACTAATGCCTTTGAATGGTAATGTTGTTAAAGAGTATTTGATGGACTGGCTAAAAACAAGTCCGTCTTAGAAGTGCAGCTAGAGTGCCCACTCCTTAGAAGCAAAAATTATGAGACTTTGTCTCATATACTTTGGGCATGTAGGCAGATGGGGGTCAGTCTTTGTAAAAGGACGTCACGGTTGCAAATATGGAAAGTTGGCTAAAAAAAAAGGAAGACCCTCAAAGAGATTATCTGACACAGCTACTGCAACAGTGAGCTTTAGCTAGTGATTGTAAGGATAGCATGAGATTGAGTGAAGTTTAGATCTATGGTACATAGGGTCACTTGTACTCAGAACTTACTGATGACACCTAACAAGTGATAACAACAATAGTAAGCAGAGCTCCTCTATTTAGCATGATAACTGATAACCTTATATTCTATAAATGTCTGTTGTTGTTGTTGTGTACCCTTGAGTAGGAAACAACTCTAAATCTGATTTTTCATCTTTTTTTCTGAGGCAGTAAATCACACAGGAGGAGATTACCCGTCCTCCCACAGAGCAGCTGCTGGATTTGAACAAAGTGCCTTTGGATTGGCAGCACAACTCCTTAACACTAGACCACCAGAGTTCCTTTGTTATTGTTGTTGCTAAATGCCCTTAAGTTGGAACCAACTCAAAGCTGACCCTCCTAAGTGTTTTCAGAGGCAGTAAATATCATGGGTGAGATTCTTTATTTTTCTCCCCTGAAGCAATGGGTGGATTTGAATTACCTGCCTTTGGGTTGACAGTGTAGCTCTTTAGTACTAGTCCACCAGAACTCCCTTGTTTGCTACTGTTCTTGTTTATATCAAGTGAGAACCAACCCAGAGTTGACCCATCCGTGAACTTTCAGAGGCAATAAATCAACGTGGAGGATTTTTCTTTCTTGTGGAGTGGCTGGTGCATTTGAACTGCATACTTTTGTGCTGGTAGCACAATTCCTTCCCACTAAGCCACCAGTTTGGTGGACATTTTGGTACAATAATAATATACCTATAAAGAGCAACATATGAATAAGTCATGGATTTCTTTTGTAAAAGTTAGGTTTGTACTCTGTGACAAAGTAGCTATCAAACATATGTGAGTATTTTAATTTAAATTAAATGAAAAATATTGTTGAGTCACACTGACCACCTAGGAAGTGCTCAATAACCACATGTGGCTTGTAACTATCACATGAGACAGACAGTATAAGAAAACACTTTTGTCTCTGAAGAAAATTCTTTTGAACGGCTCAAGGTTAGAACTTTGACATTGCTGTTAATTGCTGTTGAGTCAATTCAGATTCATGGAGACTCCACGGAAGGATATAGATTTTCTTAGGCTCATAATTCATCTGAGTTTTCATTTTGTTGTTTTCCTTAAGTATGAAGATATTCAGGTTTGGTCCAGACTCACAGTGATTCTATGTACAACAGAACAAAATATTGCCAACTTCTGCGCCATCCTGACAGATGTTCTGTTTGAGCCATTGTTGCAGTCACTGTGTCAATCTGTCTTATTAAGAATCTTCCTCTCTTACTCTTACCTATGACTTTGTAAAATAGTCGTGTTATAGATATATTAGCAACATTTGTTGTTGTTGCTATGTACCGTCGAGTCGCCTGCGACTCATAGCGACCCTATGTACAGCAGCCCTAAACTCCGCTCTGTCCTGTGCCAATCGCACTGTCTCTGACACTCCCATCCCAATTATCCCAGTCACTGAATCAATCCACCTCATAGAGGGCCTTCCTCTCCTGCGCTGTCCCTCCACCCTCCCAAGCATGATGTCCCTCTCTAAGGACCGGTCTCTCCTCACAACATGTCCAAAGTAAGTTAGACGGAGCCTCAGAATCCATGCCTCCAAGGAGCCACCCGGTTTAACCCTTTCCAGGACAAATCTGTTTGTTTTCCTAACAGTCCATGGTATTCTCAATACTCTTCTCCAGCACCACAGCTCAAA